AATTTGAATGAAATTTAAACGAATATAATTTGTGTGTGTGTGGTGTAAAGAATTTCAAATTTTTTTTCTTTTTTCAAATTTGAAGCCAATTTGTGAAATGAAAACCAATGTGTGTGTGTGTGGCAATTGAATCAGACAATTGATATGGTGTGTGTTTCTTCCTTCATCTTCATTTTCATGGTAAATATCAATCGACGAAGACGAAGACGACCACCACCACTATTATCATCTTCGATCACCATCACACCACCAAAAATAAGACGACAATTGATGATTAGTGATCTTCTTCTTCATCATCTTCTTGATTCTATCAGACAATTCTATTTCGTTGCTCAAATATAATTATCTATTGATTGGGCAGCACAACTAGCAGCGATAGTAGTTGATGATTGCTATTTTCAAATTCATTCATTGAATTCTTTCCATCATCATCGAATAACTATTGCTACCTAGTTAGTTAGCTGAGGGTAGATTGGTTTTAAAACTCTCAATTATCAAATTTTTCTTTTTTGTTGTTGAAAGAAAAACAAAATTGAGACCTTTGATGATGATAATAATGATGTGATGTTTATGACGATGATTATGATGATCATTATTATTATTATTATTATTATTTTTTATCTGATTCACACATCATTATCATTATTACAATTATCTTTGGTGGTGGTGATTATGGTGATGGTATTAGTAGTAGTAGTGGTAATCATCATCATTGATGGATTCTAATACAAACGATTTGGATGATTGGTCATCATCAAACCATAATCATTATGAATCTTGTTAGAATGAATTATTTTTAGTTGATTTCGAAAATCGGATCGGAAAAAGAATTTTGACAATGAAAATTTACCGATGTCACATTGTGTCCAGGGTGGATCAAATGGGTCAACGGTTACTAAAATAACTTTCAATAACTATTGTTTACAGGACAGGAAGTTGCCTTTTACTGCTATTGCTGCTACCACGAAAACGAAAAAAAAATACAATAATTATATTCTTGATATAGACAACATAAAATCATTGAAAATTTCATTTAAATTCATTCATTCATTCTGATAGAAAAAAAGATGATGATTAAAAAAGAAAATTTAATGAATGGAATTGAATTGAATTTTCTGCTGCTGGTCGATTGGTTAATATTTACTATATATTTTTTTTTCTGAAGCCAATGATAGATAATCATCATGATGTTTAAATTGATAATTTACTATTTACTCATTACTACTACCACAATGGTAATTGATCATTTTTTTTGGATTATTCGCAAACAAACAAAACAAAATTGATGTGAACTGAATTTCTGGCCAAAGAAATGAAAGAAATGAAACCACATTGTTGATGATATGGTTCTTTTTCGGTGATGAAAATTGATTGAAATAAAGTAAATTGAAAATTATTCAATTCAGAAAAATAAAATATCATTGATGATGATGGAAAATGAAATGAAATGAATAAAATTGATTTCATTTCAAATTTATATAAGGTAATATTGTTTTTTTTCGTATTTTTTATTGTTCACATTCAATCATCGTTATCATCATCATTATGGATTGGATTGAATATCATTTCTGTTTTTTTTTCTTCTAAAATCAAATGTAATGATGATGATGATGATTTCTTTGGAAAAACAAACAAACAAACATCATAATGATGAACTATTTAAATAAGATCAGCAACAGAAAAACATTGATGATTTTTCCAGATTTAAAGATACCAATTCATCATCAAATCAAACAAATAAAATGAATTTTTTTTCATCAGTATCACAAACATTTCGTAGAAAATAAATAATCATCAATTGTGAACGGATGGATATAAAATAAATGAATGAATGAATGAATGATTTTATTTCATATTTGAAAAAGAAATTAGACGAAAAAAAGGGGAAAAAATCATTAAAATAATCCAATCTTGTTGATGGATTTTTTTGAATGATGAAGACTACGATGATGATGAACTATTTTTTTGTTTTGCTAATTGATTTGAATCTGAAAAAATAAAATAAAAATGATGATTGTTTGATTGTTTATGTGAATTTTTTTCGGATGAAATTCAATCTTCTTTTCCTAAAAAAATGATTCGACAAATCAATTGATTTTTGCCCTTTTTCTTCATTTCGTAAATATAACAATCATGTAATGATGATTTGGATATATCAAATATGTAAATGATGGGGAGGGAATAGAAAAAACATCAATATTGATAAGGCGTTGACCAAATGATTTGTTTTTTTTATAGGCAAAAATCAAATGTATTTTCTCCTTCCACCCCCCTCAAAACACAAACATCAAAAAAAATCAATCAATAAAATAATGATAATAAAATGTTTTCTTTTTCCCTGAACCATTATGGTGTCAAAGATCATCATCATCATCATCTTACTAATCATCATGATTATCATTTAATGGAATGGTTACAGATGATGAAAATTTTGTTGAATGAAACAATCAAGAAAGAAAGAAAAACCCGAAATAAAATTGGAAGAAAAGAAATATATTTGAAGATGATCCATTCATTCAACAAGAGAATGAATGAACGAAAACAATAATAATCATCATCTGCATAATAATGATAAACATTGATGATGATCATCATCATCCACAAACGATGGTTAGATGGTATCATTAAATCAAGAAAACCAAAACAAAAATTGACAATAACTTGACAACAGCAACCAGAAAAACAAAATCAAACCAAACCTATACACAATACGAACAAATCTATTTTGGATTTTTCATTTGATTTTGAAAGAAAACAACAACAACTGAAGAAAATCAATCGATTTTTGGAAATCAATCTCAATCGATTATTATTATAAAGTGAGAGAGAGAGAGGGGTTTATCAATCAAAACAAAAAAAAACGAAACAAACCATTCTTGTTTGTCTTTTATTTTTCTATTGTTTTTTATCGATCATCATTATTATTATTATGATCAAATATTGAAAGACAACTGACTGAATAAACTAAATCAACATAATAATCACATATAATGAAATGACAAATATCAAATATATATTCAAAAAAGGTAAAGGTAAATTGTTTTGAATTGCTGTTTCTGTTTGTGCTTTTTGGCAATGGTCATTGATGTTGATTTGATAGTGGTGATTATCATCAATGATGATGATGTTTTTCTGTTGTTGTTTTTGTTTCTGGTTAGCTGGTTAGTTGATTGGTTTGGTTGGCGTGAAAATTTGAAATCATTGAAAACAAAATATCGATCCATCGTTATTATTATTGTGAAGATGATTTTCACCGAGAAAAACAAAACAAAACAAAATGAAAACCTTTGTGTGTGACAACATAACAATAGATTATATAACCACAAATCAATTGGCTACTATATCAATCGATATAACGAAAATTTGATCATCATCATCATGAAATTATCGTTGCAAAAAGTAGAAAAAACGAAGCTAATCATCAATCATTGTCATTGAAACAAACAAGCAATTTTTTCCTGATTCAATTCAATTCATTTTGAATGATTTCGATTTGATTTTGGATAAAAATTGAACAGAACAACAACAAAATGTTTGATATTCTTCTGCCATTAGATCATCATTATAATCTACAAAAAAAAAAATATAAAATTTTTATAGGTTTTACTTATCCAGATTTAATATTTCTCTTCCCTCTCTTACCAATTTCTTTCAGTATCAAGCAGACAGAGTGGTTGTAATGGCTGGAATGTGATATTTTTGCTGTATGATTTTTAATTAAAAAAATTGGTCACAGAAAAAAAATTCATTGGAAATTCCTAAATCGTATTTTGACAAAATACCCAAGAAAAAAATCGAATAGCAATCACAGTATACGTGATAAAATAAATAAATAACGAAAACTAACTCAATTCGTTATCAATATTCGCATATAAATATCACAAATATCCGTTGTTCTTTACCCATTTTATGATCTCAAAACTGATGACGACAAAGTAGAATATTTCATTGAAAACAACAACAACAACAACAACAAAATCCTATTTAATTAGTTAATTACACTACTTTACAATTATCACCACCATTACTAAAGCCAGCCAGACAAAAAACATAAACTACAAACCACAAACCACAATATCATCATCATTAGAATGACCAAAATGACCAGAAAATGCAATGATATTATCATCATCATAATGATGATGATAATGATGAGAATTATTATTATTATTTTCCGTTAATAAATTCTATTAATTATAAATTCTTTTCCATTACAAACATACGCACACACACACACACAGTAAAGATCTTTAATATAATGAATTGATAAAAAAAATAGAATAATCTACATACATAGTGTTATAAATAATTAATAATAATAAAATTTTTCATATAATGGATGATTTTATATATAACATTGATCGAGTTATTTTGTTTTTTTTCTTTCTTTTCGAGTTTTTCAAATAATAAAAAAAATATGTAATTCACGTCCACCAAACAGTCAATTCTGTGTGAGAAAAAACAAAGAATTTCTCTTAGTTACTGATAACTGTGGATTTGGCTATTTTTTCTACTGGTTGTAAATCGAATCGGTTCCATTTCGGTTTTTTTTCGTTTTTGGATAAAATTCTCAGCAGGTAAGTTGGTAGAACAACAACAACCAAAGCTTGTCATGAAACCAGAAAAAACGATTAATAAGGTTATAAATAATTAATTTTTGGAAAAAGTAAACGAGATAAAAACATGAGAATCATGTTTTTGTTTTTTGGTTTCTGTGATTCAATGATGATCTTGATGATGATGATGACCATCACCGGTATTTTTTACTTTTTTGCTTTGTTAGAAAAACAAATTAGGTAACAGCGAAAAACAATCAATGATGATGATGATGGTTTAATGTTTAATTGTATGACTAATTTCGGTTGTTTTGACAACCAAAAAAGAACCACTTTTTTTTGAAATGCGTCATATTTTATTTTAGCAATAAATATTTAACGACAAAACTAGTCGAAACAAACCAAATCAATGATTAATTCAATTCATTTTAATATATAGGACAAATCAAAAGTTTTAAAAAAAGTCGGATTACATAACGATTATTATCGGTCATTATTGATGTTATTATCAGATAATAAACCAGCTGAACGTGTCATTGAATAAAAAATACTATCATTATTAGCCAATAGATTTGCTGGTGTATCAAATTCCGCAATACAGCCATCATCCAATACTAATATACGATCCGAATCCATTATTGTATTTAAACGATGTGCAATAGTCAGAATTGTACAATCAATAAATGATTGACGTATTGTTTGTTGTATTAATGAATCGGTTTCCATATCAACAGCTGCTGTTGCTTCATCCAATACTAAAACTTTTGTTTTACGTAATAATGCACGTGCTAAACAAACTAATTGTCGTTGACCAACTGATAAATTTGAACCACTTTCATTAATTTCATATTCTAAATGACCATCTAATGATAATGTAAATTGTTTCAAATGTGCCAATTCTAAACAACGCCATATTTGTTCATCTGAAAAATTTTTAAATGGATCTAAATTTGTACGTAATGTTCCGGAAAATAGTACTGGATCTTGTGGTATGATTGTCAAACGACTACGTAGTTGATGTAGACCAATTTTCGATATATCAATACCATCGATTCGTATACAACCATTAGCTGCTTCGATTAAACGAAATAATGCTAATGTTAGCGATGATTTTCCAGCACCAGTTCGACCAACAATACCAATTTTTTCACTTGGTTCAATTCTGGCTGTTATACTTTTTAATACTAAATCTAATTTTGGACGATAACGTGTACCATATTCAATAAATTCAATACGACCTTGTTGTGGCCAATTATTTGGTGGTGAAGTTTCCTGTATTTCCCATTCAGCTTCAACCGAAAGATCCGTATATTCTAGAATACGTTCAGCACTTACAATACTTTAATTTGATTTTTTCAAAAAAAAAACAAATAGTTAGTTACAACCATAATCAATAGATGTCGTTACTAACTTTGTTTCAATATCGGTTGATGAACGAACTAAATAATTAAGATTTTGTGTTGTATTCAATGCATATGTTATAATAAGACCAACAGCACTTGAATCCATTTTTTGTCGATAAATAACAGCAAAAATTGCGGCAAAAAATACAATAAAATTAGCTATTAATTCTAAACGTATTGATAGCCAACGATTCGATATAATCATTGCCAAATTACAAGAATTATTAATATCTGCATTATCATCATTTTTTATAATAAATTCTTTCATACAAGAAAATGCCCGTATTGTATTAACACCCGTTAATGTTTCACTAAAATGTGAATAAACGGGTGATTTTGTAATCGATTCAATACGTTTCAATTGACGAGCTGTCGATATGTATAGTCTCTATAGTTTTTTTTTCGTTGTTGTTATTGAAAATGGTTGAATGATGATGATGATGATTGAACAGAATTGTTGTTGTTGTTTGTTTGGTTTGTCCAGTCGATAGAATGGTCAGCAACGAACAACGAAAAAAAAATCCAAGATTGAAAAAAATGAATTACACAAGCGGCCATAGAACATTATGATTGGAAAATGGATTTTTTCGTTTTTTGTTGTTGTTTTTCACACATCAGGCCAATGAATAATGGCAAAACATTTGAAAAACATATGCGCCATGTTGTTGTTGTTGATGATGATCATAATGGTGATATATAAAAAAAGGGACAAAAGGGAAAGAAACAAGAAAAAGAGAAAAAAACAAAAATCGATAATGAATAAGATGATCGATCTATTTATGTATGTGTGATAATGTGAAGGGATAAAAAATTGTTATGATGTGAAAATGATTCTATGATATAAATCACCTGAATTAAATAGAAACATATAACCATTGGTAGAATAATTGTTAAAAATATTGGAATTTCTATCGAAAATTTTTGTCATCATCATTATCAGCAGTAGCGTCAATATTGTTATTGTTGTTGTTGTTTGAGGAATATTTCCAGTAGCGGCAACAAGGAAAAACGGAAGTCAAAACGAAGAAAAAAAAATATTAGAAAATTTTGAACGAAAACATCATCAATCAGTAAAATCAATGATTATTATTATGGGAAAATAAAGAATGGCAAAAGATTAATGGAATGTGCCATGGTATCCCATCGATGGTTTTTTGTGTTTGCCGGCAGTTTTTCTCTATTTTTTTTTTTTTTTTTTTTTTTTTTTTTTTGCCCTCGATTTTTTCTCCCTTGTGTGGTGGGGGAAAAAATTGGGAAAA